TCCCTTATAAAAACGTCTCTAAAAGTGTGTTGAGACTTCCACTGTGACATCTACGTGGTCGGCTTTTTAGCAGTCTGTGATTATCTGGAAAGATCGTGCGTTCTCCATCTGGAGGACTTGGTGTTTCAGGCTGAGATCCGCATGGCTCAAGCCTCCCCGGCCGCCTTTTGTCTGCCTGGCCTGTCGTCTCAGAGACCGCGTGGACGGGTGCCTGTGGGTGGACCTGCCGGGCTCCCTCGAGGTCGCTCCCATCCGTCCTCTACCGCTCAGAGCCTGTTAGGGATGTACAGTCCCCGGATCCGGCTTCAGGAGCCATTCGCGCTGTCCGTTTGAGGGTTCCTCTTCCTGCCGTTTATCCCTGGTTCCCCTCTCTCTGGCACAGACACCACAGCTTGCTTCCGCAGGACCAGCAGATGGTGTAATGCTTGCTTTGCTGGACTCGCATGTGGTTTGCCATAGTTCGAGCCCCAGACTCGGCGGCTTAAAATTCATGCCAGGCAGCATGTGCATGTGTGCCCAAGATCCCAAGAGGAGAATGGAGGAAAAGGGATTGCACTGTGGCTATCCCTCCGGGAGGTGATTGCTCACTTTCTGTCTCTCCAGCAGGCACACGGGTTCTATAACAAAAAAAAACCCCAAAAAACCTGCTTTTATTATTGGTGTTATTGTCTTATTTACATCAGTGTCATAGTGAGGTGTTTTGATAAGCTGTAAAAAGCCCTTGGAATCCAGCGATCTTACGTACACCTGGTTGAAGGTGGGTGCGACTGAGACTCCTTTTGCCTGGCCTGTCCAGGAGGACCAGAAAGATCTGTGTGTCTCTGTGACAGTCACTTCTGACTCCCTGTGAGCTGATTCTGGGGGACCCTGCAAGAGTAGGCAGAGTCTCAGCTGAACCCCACTTTCTGCTCACCTATTTAAACAAAGATAGGGCCAACTCCATGGCCTGGTGGCTAAGGCAGCTGGATCTGATACGCCCGACTGTGTGCGATTCGAGTCCTGGCCGCGGCAGTTTGAGGAGTACTCCGGGCGTGTGTACACATGTGCCCAGATCCCGAAGGGAGGAGGGGAGGTGGTGGGATAGTGGGTGGCCACACCCACCAGGAGGGCTTTCTCCTCTGTGACAAGCGCATGCGCCTCACAGCAGGAAACGCATCTGAAGCCGTTAGCCTCAGGGTGGTGAGAAGCTAGTTCAGAAGATGTCTTCTGAAAGTGCTTTCCTTTGCTGTTGTTTGCTTTAGGGCATGTATACTCCCCAGAGAGAGAGACAGAGTGAGAAATCAGTCCCCTGGAGGAATGGCCATGCCTCAATCCCTTCTCCTCCACTCTCCTCTTCGGATTTTGGGTACACATGCACACTTGCCTGGTGGTTTTTTTCAAGCCACCGGGTCTGAGACTTGAACCATGTAGTTGGCCATGTGCAATCTAGTGCCTTAGCCTCAGTGCCATCTGTTGGCCCTCTGGCATTTGTTGGGGGCAGCCCAGTTAGACCGTGGCAAAGGGGGTCCATGTCCAGAGGGGTGTCACGTGGCCCATGAGCACACGAGATGCCTGGCAGCACGAGCCCTTGGGGGCAGGCAGGCCACAGCCCAGTGCGCACCCCAGCAGGAGAGCAGGCGGCAGTGCGGATGGGAGCTCTGGCACCTTGCCGGCGGGCAGGCAGAGGCATGGTGCGGTGGAGGTCCCAGGTCCCAGTGAATCTGCAGTCCCCTGGGCAGCGTGAACCCCAGAGGGCTGGGCAGGACCCAGCCGGTGCTTGTCTGTGGGTGTCAGGTGGCCAGTGGTGGGGACAGCCAGCACGTACTTGGGCAGCCACTTGGGCGGCCGCCAGGAGGGGACTAACACGTGCTCCTGGGGCTGGCCCTCCAGGGCGTCGTGTGAGTGGAGCCAGCTGGTCCAGGGGACAGGTACGTAAGAGGGCCCAGAGGCGTCAGCTCCTGGAGCAGAAGGGTAGCTGCGGGAGCAAAGAGTGGACCATGGTGGGAGTGGCAGCATGGCATGAGAGCAGGGCCACTGACGTGGAGGTTATGGCACGCCCCGTCATGTATCTCACCGCATATGGAATGGACACACCTGGGTGATGCATGACATGCTGTGCTTAAGAAGCAGCACAGCCTGGGGGCCGACAGGTGGCGCGCTGGTTAAGTTTGAGGCGCTAGACTCCAGCACGGCTGACTAGTTCAAGTCCTGGGCCTGGCAACTTGCTTTCTTACTCTCCTCTCTCGCTCGCTCTCTCTGGTCAAATTAAAGAATAATAAAATTAAATAATTCTTTAAAAAAAAAAAAAAAGAACTGAGGGGAGCGTCCGAGTATGTGACATGCGGAGAGAGCAGGTATGAAGCCCGTGCCCTGGACCTCAGCGCCCGGCACCTGTCTCCACACTCCCCGTCTCCCTGCCCTTGCAGGCCGAGTAGGTCCAGACAGTGCACATCTCGGCCATCGGTCTGCTCCGGGAGGAGAAGGGCTGTCAACGCAGACCGCCGTTCTCACCACGCCCAAGCGCGGCCGTGCTCAATACCCTCCCTGGCTCGGCTCTGTCCCGGCGGCTCACGAACGCCTCTTCATAGCTTCTCCGAACCAGCTTTCAAGCACTGAAGTTTGTTGGTTGCTGTGAAATGCCTTTTTTTTTTTCTTGGCAAGAGGGTATGTGTGCTCACCACAGAGACACAGAGACATAGAGACATAGAGAGGGAGAGAAAGAAGCCCCAACAGAGGCTGTCACACTGCAGTCCCTCCACTCCCCCATCCCATGCCGTTTTGGACACACACGTGCCCAGTTTGTTTCCCAAGCTGCTAGGGCTGGGATTCAAACCACGTGGTCAGCTATATTGGATCTGGCTTCCTTAACACCAGGCCATGGGGCCGGCCCTTAAATATCTTTAAAAAAAAAAAACCAAGTATTTTTATTTAAGTTAAATATTTATTATTATTACTACTTTTTTTTTTTTTTAGAGGTTTTTGCTATAGGGTGTGTGCGCTCGCCAGACAGAGAGACCGAGAGACAGAAAGCGAGAAATCACCCCTCAGGGGGGAATGGGGGAGATGGTCACGCTGCAATCCCTTCTCCTCCATTCTCCTCTCGGGATCTTGGGCACGCACGCACACGCGCCCGGCGTGAGTTTTAAGCTACCAGGTCCGAGACACAAACTGCGGTTGACTGCATGGGAGTCCAGCGACATAGCCATTACGCCAACTGCTGGTCCCGATGATTACTACTTTTTATTTATTTGACCAGACACACACACACACACACACAGAAGGAGGGAGAGAGAGAGTGAAAGCAAGCTGCCAAGTTTGGGACTTGAACCGTGGTCAGACGTGGGAGTCGAGCATCCTAACCACCAAGCCACTTGCCAGCCCCAGATACCTTAATCTGTACTTGCCATCTATTTATTGGAGAAGTGGGATAATTTGCCATGTAGAACCCCACAGTCTGCATGCTCAGATCCGGGCTGCCGTCTGCTCTCTTGTTTCCTGTGTCTCCCATGCGCCGTGACGAGAGCTTTGGATTTGGCACCCTTAAAGGTGCGCGGAATCGTTCCTCATCTCTTGGTTGGAGTTTGAGAGTAACCCTTGTGCCCTGACCCCATTGGTGTAATTGGGGCCTTAAGAGAGTGAGCCAAGGACCACGACCAGCAGGGCAGTGGAGGGAGCAGGGCCGAGGTGCCACCTGCAGAGCCAGCTCTGTGAGCACCTGGGGCCACGCGCGAGTGTGTTAGGTACAGTAAATTTGTCATGTGCGGTCATTTACAAAGCTTACTGTGGAGGGTCAGCAGGTGGCATGGTGGTTAAGGCAACTGGCTCCCAAGTGGCCAACCTCACAGTTTAAGGCCTAGACCTGGTGGCTTGAAAAACATGCCAGGTGTATCTGTGTGGGTGCCTCCAGAGAACGGAGGTGCAAGGGAGGGATTGTGGCGTGGCCCTCCCTTCGGGGTGGTTCACACTGTTTCTCTCTTCAGCAAGCACATGTACCCTGTAGCAAAACTTAAAGAAAAGAGGGACCAGCAGATGACGTGTAATGGCTATGTCACTGGACTCCCATGTAGTTGACCGTGGTTCGAGTCCCGTCCCAGTGGCTGAAACTCAGGCCATGCCTGTGTGCGTGCCCAAGATCCCGAGAGGAGAATGGAGAAGGGATTGCAGCGTGGCCATCCGCCCAGGGGGTGATTTCTCACTTTCTCTGTTTCTCTCTGTCTTTCTGGCAAATGCATGTACCCCATAGCAAAAACCTCTCAAAGAGGGGGAGGGGGAGAGAGGGAGAGAGAAACTGAATAAACATGTACAGGGCCAGCTGGTGGCACGTGGTAAAGGTGGCTGGACCCTATGTGGCCGCGCAGTCGGGTCCCGTATCCAGGAACTGGTGGCTTGAAAAGCATGCCAGGCACGTGCACATTTTTGCCCAAAATCATGAGAGGAGGGAGCAGGAGCAGAGGTGCCCATGGTCATCTCCAGGATGTGTTCTCACTTCCCCGTCTCCAGAGGCACGAGCCCTCTCGCAAGTCTTAAAAAATGCGGACGGTGCAACTGCACTGAGAAACACCTTTGAATTCCTCTTTCCATCAGACACCCCCTTACGAAGAGTGAGTACGTTTGCGAATGACACCTTCAAACTGATTTCAAAGCAGGCGTGAAGTAGAAATGACCGTGACTCTTTTATGCTTTTTTTTTTTTTTTGGAGAGATTTTCACTGTAGGGCGCGTGCGCTCGCCAGACAGACAGAGAGAGACATAGAGACAGAAAGCGAGAAATCACCCCCCAGGGGGGATGGTCACGCCGCATTCCCTTCTCCTCCATTCTCCTCTCAGGATCTTGGGCACGCACGCACACGCGCCCAGCGTGAGTTTTAAGCCACCGGGTCCGGGACACGAACCGCGGTCGACTACGTGGGAGTCCAGCGACATAGCCATTACGCTAACTGCTGGTTCCTCTTTTATGCTTTTGAAGACGAGAGTTTTCCTGCTTGGGACTCCCATACACTAATGCTCGCTTCTTGACTTTAGGAATTTGAGAGTGTGTTTTGCGGTAAAACTGGCAGAAGGCTAAAGCTGACCAGACCGGACTCCTTGGTGACCTGCCCCACACAGGGGAGTCTGCAGAGCAGCCCTGCGATGGAGATCCAGTGACTGGACTGAGGAAGCCGCCGCCCCCACGCCCCACAGACGCGCTCTACTCTCCGGGACCCTGCGCTGGGGGCTGCCGCACAGGGACGCAGCGCGGGCGGCGCCCAGTCGGGTCTGGGAGAGCACACCCTGCGCAGCGCTTACAAAATACCTAGCCACTAATGTCCTTAGACCACATGGGGTGAAGACATCTTGGTAATTAGTAAGTAACTTTCCAATTATCTGTCTGATTCCATCATGTTTTTTTAACATGATAACTTAAGAATGAGCACCCTGTACAGTTCTGTAGTCTTAAAAGGCACATTGCTTTTTACGGATTTTATTTACGTTTTACATACGCCCTTTAGGCATTGGAGCAAGTTAAATTACCCTTAACTAGAAGTAGTTGGCGTTCTGTTTAATTGTTGTGTCAGTCCCCTGGTGAGGACCGCGCCCTGGCACTGTTGGCTCTCTGCGAAGCCCAGAGGCCCCCTGCGAGGACGCTGCCCGGCACCAAACACCCACTGGGCGTTGCCGGAAGGCCATTTCCGTAGCGAGTCGTTGCTGTGTGTAATAAACTGGTGTTCGGAATGGAGTTCCCAGAGAGTGGCTTTATTTATTACAACCCACGGCGCCACAGACTTTAGTGCGACAGAGGCCACGGAGGCCCCGGCCGTGGGCACGGCAGCCGGAGCCGGCTTGCGCGCACGCACATGAGTAGGGGGTCGACGCCCTCTGTGTAGTCGGGGAGGTGCTAGACCCTTTCATTGCCTGTTCGGCTGTAGCCGTCGTTAACCTGGAGATCTGCTGCGTCCCTTGATTGGCGTCAGATGCAGTCTACACAGTGCTCTGTAAACAGTGGCGACCGGGACCACGAGCCCTGCCCACGCGGGACCCCGGGATGCGTGAGCTGTGCCACACAGGCCTGTCGAGGTGTGATCTCGTGGGTGAACGCAGCTCCCGACTGGGCCAGGGTGCTCCCAGGGCTGCCTAGGGCTCCGGGGTGTCAGCAGCCTGCTGAGCGGCCCCTTGAGATGGGATGCCGACTCCTGGGGGCCGTCCTGCTGCTTGCTCAGCTCTGTTCATGAGCTCCTGGGCCCCGACTTCTCCCCGGCCCCTCCTAGCATGGCTCCCTGGCAGGCTGAGGTGTCACAGATCCCTGGGGTGCCCTGCGCCCCAATAGCGCCGGGCAGGCCAGGGTCGCCGGGCAGGCCGGGCTCACCATGGGCACCATCCTGGCCATCTTTGCTGATCCCGGGCACGCCTGGTGGTCCTAGGGGTGGACAGGCAATGGTTGGGGGTGGCAGGAGTGGGGTGCTGTCCCTACTCAGCTCTCCAAACCTCTGCTGCTGGCTGTTCTGTAGCCCAGGCGGGACCAGCAAGACCTGCTGGTGGGGGTGAGGAATGGATGGGCTTCGGGTGGGCCAGAGCAGAGCAGGCAGGTGGGGGAGGCTGCAGGCGCCGAGTAAGGGTGGACAGCACGAACCCAGGGAGAGCCGGCGCTGGGGTGGGAGGGTGCCGGGGTTGGGGCCGCTCCCTGGGTGTTAGCACAGAGGTGATGCAGAAGCCCCTCAGGTGCAGAGGGGCAGCCCAGACCCCCTGAGCTCAGGGGGAGGCAGAGCTGGGGCCTCATGGGCAGGAGTGAGAGTTTCAGGGGTTGTGAGGGGGGAGGGAGCCCACAGGGGCCTGTTGTGCCAAGACCAGGAGGCTGTGACTCCGAGGATGCCATGCAGGTAAGAAGCGTCAGGACGTGCTGGGGACAAGGACACGGCCTTGCTCCTTGACAAAGCGTTCACGTTCGGCAGATCGAACGATCAGGCACGTGTGGCTTAGTAAAGGGATCCCCTTAGAGTTTAACTGAGATCACACCGGCTGCTGTGGTCATGTGGGTGCCACTGGTCTCCTTAGCTGAGGAGGTGTAGGGTCCGGTCACTAATGGAGTGCCGTGTGTGACAGTGGTTACCAGGCAGCTCCAAGTCCTGCCTTTCAAAATGCTTTGCCCCAAACTCCTTTCTAAAAAAGCGAGACAAGGCAGAACCCAAACAGCCCGCAGGGTGTGGCAAGACGTTGGGGAAGATGCCACACCGCGACTGCTGCTGGTGACAGTGGCCGTGTACCTTGCAGCCCCTGGTCTCCATCAGGCCCGTCCAGCCCTGGGCCTGCTGTGCCCTTGTCTCCTCTGTCGCCTCGGTTTCCTGTCGTGAGGGGTTGAGCAGACACAGGTTAGAACGTCCACTGTAGCCATGCGCCCCCATGCCAGCACCCACCTCCTCAACAAGGGAGTGCATTTCTCACAAGCTTTTCACCGAAGGGGAGCCATTCGGGAAAGCGCGGGCATCACCCCTGCAGGGCCTGGTGGGGTCCGGAGGAGGAGGCACCGCACACCGGGCAGGGTCGTGACCGCCTGTCCGGCCTCTGACAGCCACGCCGGGTGGTATTTTTGTTCAAAATATCTATGTCTAAAAAGCAGTTGGGTATTCATCTTAGATTCACCGTCTCCATGCGATTCCGACCTGAGTTATCTGGGTTTTCCAGATGTCCTCTCTCCTAGTGACCGGGTGTCTCTCCATCTGTGAGCCATAGCTCCGGAGAGAGAGGTGTTAAAATGTCCTGTTGGTTTTCCCCTTGTTTTACTTTTTGCTATAGGGAGCATGTGCTCATGAGAGAGGGAGAGAGAGAGAGAGAGATCACCCCTTGGGGGGACAGCCACAATGCAGTCCTCCTCCATTCTCCTCTCAGGATTTTGGGTTCGCATGCACATGCGTCCAGTGATTTTCAAGCCGCGGGGTCCATGTAGCTGGCCAGGTGGAATGCAGCACTTCAACCCTGGCACCGCCTGCTGACCCCAAGTCCCGTTACTGAGGGCGGCCTGTCAGCGTCGGACATCTCGCAGCTCTGCTGTGCTGCACACCAGCTGTTGGGGTTCCGGTTCCGGCGATCGGACGGTCCCTCCACCCTTAGCTGGCACTGAGGGTGACCGAGGGCTGGTGCGCTTGCTGTCGCGGCTGCGCAGCTCGGTCTGGGTCGGCGCTGGTCAGTGACCTGCTGCCTTCTGCAGCTGACCAGGACAGTTGCGGCCAGCCATCCCTGCGCACCTGTAGACCACACAGACTGTGGGGGCGTGGTGCCCACGGCCTGGGGGGTCACAGCTGGTCACAGTGGGCTCCATGCCTGTGGCCTTGGCCACCTGCTGTGCCCTGGTGGGTTGGGAGTGGCTTCCTCCTGAAGGCCTGAGGCAAGCCAAGCTCCTACGTGGTTTCCCTCAGCCACCACTGGACAGCCCCATCCTGCTGAGCGCCTGGCCCAGGGAGATGCCCTCCCACCGAGAGCATGAACGCCCCGGCAGTCCTTCTGGCCCAGCGCGCCCCTCTGCGTCCGGGGGGCAGCCTTCGCCTGACCGTGGTCACCTGCTCTTCTGAGTGGTTCACGCTCTTGTGGAACTTTATTTTTGAACATCTTGAAGGAATTCCAGTTCCTCTCTGAAGACAATCTGTTCGTCGTATCGAGTTGCCAGGAGGCTCACACACCTGCCAGAGAGGCAGAGGAACGGGCGGGGCACCCCCAGTGGGATGGTCCTTCTGTCCTGTCAGGATCCCGGGCACGCAGCTCATGCTTCATGCCTCCAGGGCAGGAGTCCCACCAGAGCCCGTGGTGCGGGTACGGCTCCTCAGACCACTGAGCAGGCTGGCCCTTGGAACGTCCACTTGGCCGGGTTTGGAGGACCAGCCCCTCAATGGCTGCAGAGGAGTGCAGACGGCTGGAGACGACCACAAACTCCGAGAAACCGCGACGCCAGTTAACCGGGACGGCGTCACACGTAGGTGACAGGGCAGTCTCTACGGGTCTTGAACATACACGAAATGGCAGTGGCCATGTGAGTTCCTTCACGTGGCTGTGTTCAAGCCTAGCCCAGGGACCTTGCAGAAGAGGGTTCTCCGAGAAGTTGACCTCCACGCTGTTTTCGAGACCGGGTAGTAACTTGCAGCCAGCTGGAACCAGGGGCTCTGAGCCACAGCCATGGCCTTCACCAGACCACGAGGTCGCGCTGGCCAAGGCCAGTGCCTGGCACTCACCGCGCTGGGTATCATCCGGACGTCGGAGCCCCCACACTGGGCCTGGTGCACCTGGTCTGGGGCCGTGAGCTACCGCGGGACCATGGCGAGCCCGGCTACGTGGCGGCCAGCGCCAGGGACTCCTGCCGGCCCCGAGCGAAGGTTTTTGGCCGTCGCCCTCAACCTCCTCCTGCCTTTTGCAGCGGCTGGCCCGCCCCGCCCACC